GGGACCTGATCGTACCAAGGACTCAAACCCTACACATTCAAGGCTACACTTGCTCCTTAAGAGAAACCAAGGTGATTTGTCAGCTGCACTGCTTGATCTTTTTATAAGGGCTTGATCTGCTCTTGGCTCTGCGGGGCAGTGGTCCTTTGAGTTGCACTGTTCCTGTTCGATTTACAGAGTGGTCTTCCCTTTTTTCAGAGATCCTTTGCTTGTGAATCTGCCAGATTGAGGCATCTTTGGCAGCAGAGGAAAGATCGCGGCGTTCAGGGGTCCAGACCAGCAAGGAACACGTTGTATCTGCACCCATGACACAACATCATATTTGCCCTTGGATCAACAATGTTTGGCCAATTGCAGCCATGGCTTTGGTCCCCTTCCTACGTGTTGGTTTTCGTTCGGCTTCCCGAGCTGAACAGGTTGACGAGGAGCTGCACATCAAGGTGGTGGGCCACGTACCTGCAGGCCTCCCCGCCTTTGAGTTCCCCGTGCCTTGGTCTCGCAAACTCCAATGAGGTTTTCACTGCGAGTTGGTCGGTGGTGCCCATCCTTGCTTTTTGTTGGGTAGGTTCCGACACCACTAACATTGCTCATACCTTTCACAAGGGCCACTTTACAACTGGCATTGAAAGTCCCAAGGACCTCGTACCGGGTTGCTGTTCTCCGTCCGCATGGATCTTGGATTTTGATAGGCTCCTCGGTTGTCCATGGATACTTTCTTGAAAACAAGAGGAGCCCGGGAACCCAAAAGCAAACCAGCCTAACCCCCCACGGCATGTGGATCCCGTTGTTTTCCGGCTCAAGGGTCCGAAGGCAAACCAAGATTTAAGTTGTTCACAGTTGGGAAATCAACCCCAAAACAGATGAAGAAGGGGAGCAACCGCGACTCAAGCCGGATTGGCAGCCAGCAGCCTGTGCTCTGACCAAGCACAGAGAAAAAGGCAAAGGCACGGGTGAAACATGACAGGCCCCGCGCTACATGGAAGGCACGAAGTCATCCGATTCATCATGAAGAACCAATCGCAGAAATCCGAAAATGGATCCGCACAAACTACCACTCCCAAATTGGAAGCAAGGCATAAGCTCGCTCTACACCCATCTGAAACAAGTCTGAGACACAGTGTTACAACACGATCTGAGTAGACCGGGGTCAGCTGTTCGGATGTTCATGCGCCCTTATGTTGGGGCCGAGTGTGCTCAGCATATTCATGTCAACGTGCTTCCAGGCTGCTTCCAAATAAGTAGGGCGAGTCCCAAGAGGCCACAGACTCTGAAGAGAGGGTTCGTCCTAGAAACACATTGGCGCCATTTGTTCGGGTCAGGTGTGCGGCAAAAAGGACAATTTTGGCGTGCCTGGAACGCCGGGCTGTTCACATGGAGCCGTGCACGTGGCCTTCACAAACTTGCTTTGTAAGCTTGCTTGGATTCGTTAGTTTCTCCACCTATTTTCCCATTCGCAACCAATGGCAACTGGTGACTTTGTGGAAAGGGCCGCGCACGTTGTCAATTGGATGCGTGTGGATGGCAAGTTGGGTGGATTCGCCGCAGGTGTGTGGAGACGGGGCCGGCGCTGCGCTTTTGCGGGGGACAAGCCTCGATCTTGGTGGACACAGTGTTACCACGATCTGCGTAGACCGGGGTCAGCTGTTCGGATGTTCATGCGCCCTTTTGTTTGGGCCGAGTGTGCTCAGCATATTCATGTCAACGTGCTTCCAGGCTGCTTCCAAATAAGTAGGGCGAACCCCGAGGCCACAGCTTCTGAAGAGAGGGTTCGTCCTAGAAACACATTGGCACCATTTGTTCGGGTCAGGTGTGCGGCATTTTGGCGCACCGGGAACGCCGGGCTGTTCACATGCAGCCGTGCACGTGGCCTTCACAAACTTGCTTCGTATGCTTGCTTGGATTCGTTAGTTTCTCCACCTATTTTCCCATTCGCAACCAATTGCAACTGGTGACTTTGTGGAATGGGCCGCACACGTTGTCAATTGGATGCGTGTGGATGGCAAGTTGGGTGGATTCGCCGCAAGTGTGTGGAGACGGGGCCGGCGCTGCGCTTTTGCGGGGGGCTCGGTGTGGACAAGCCTCGGTCACTTGGTGGGCGAAACAAGTCTGAGACACAGTGTTACCACGATCTGCGTAGACCGGGGTCAGCTGTTCGGATGTTCATGCGCCCTTTTGTTTGGGCCGAGTGTGCTCAGCATATTCATGTCAACGTGCTTCCAGGCTGCTTCCAAATAAGTAGGGCGAACCCCAAGAGGCTACAGCTTCTGAAGAGAGGGTCCGTCCTAGAAACACATTGGCACCGTTTGTTCGGGTCAGGTGTGCGGCAAAAAGGACAATTATGGCGTACCTGGAGCGCCGGGCTGTTCACATGGAGCCGCGCACGTGGCGGTTGCCGCATGTCATGAGCGTCCACCTCCACCGCGCCAGTCTCGCTCGCCGGCATGTCACGAGCGTCCACCACGCCAGTCTCGCTCGCGAGCGGTTTCCGCATGTCACAAGCGTCCACCGCGCCAGTCTCGCTTGCGGGCGGTTTCCGCATGTCACGAGCGTCCACCGCGCCAGTCTCGCTCGCGGGCGGTTTCCGCATGTCACGAGCGTCCACCGCGCCAGTCTCGCTCGCGGGCGGTTTCCTCATGTCACGAGCGTCCCCCGCGCCAGTCTCGCTCGCGGGCGGTTTCCGCATGTCACGAGCGTCCACCGCGCCAGTCTCGCTCTCGGGCGGTTTCCGCATGTCATGAGCGTCCACCGCGCCAGTCCCGCTCGCGGGCGGTTTCCGCATGTCACGAGCGTCCACCGCGCCAGTCTCGCTCGCGGGCGGTTTTTGCATGTCACGAGCGTCCACCGCGCCAGTCTCGCTCGCGGGCGGTTTCCGCATGTCACGAGCGTCCACCGCGCCAGTCTCGCTCGCGGGCGGTTTCCGCATGTCACGAGCGTCCACCGCGGCAGTCTCGCTCGCGGGCGGTTTCCGCCTGTCACGAGCCACCGCGCCAGTCTCGCTCGCGGGCGGTTTCCGCCTGTCACGAGCGTCCACCGCGCCAGTCTCGCTTGCGGGCGGTTTCCGCATGTCACGAGCGTCCACCGCGCCAGTCTCGCTCGCGGGCGGTTTCCGCATGTCACGAGCGTCCACCGCGCCAGTCTCGCTCGCGGGCGGTTTCCGCATGTCACGAGCGTCCACTGCGCCAGTCTCGCTCGCGGGCGGTTTCCGCATGTCACGAGCGTCCACCGCGCCAGTCTCGCTCGCGGGCGGTTTCCACATGTCACGAGCGTCCACCGCGCCAGTCTCGCTCGCGGGCGGTTTCCGCATGTCACGAGCGTCCACCGCGCCAGTCTCGCTCGCGGGCGGTTTCCGCATGTCCACCACGCCAGTCTCGCTCGCGGGCGGTTTTCGCATGTCACGAGCGTTCCACCGCGCCAGTCTCGCTCGCGGGCGGTTTCCGAATGTCACGAGCGTCCACCGCGCCGGTTTGCGCATGTCACGAGCGTCCACCTCTCGCTTGCGGGCGGTTTCCGCATGTCACGAGCGCAGTCTCGCTCGCGGGCGGTTTCCGCATGTCACGAGCGTCCACCGCGCTGGTCTCGCTCGCGGGCGGTTTCCGCATGTCACGAGCATCCACCGCGCCAGTCTCGCTCGCGGGCGGTTTCCCCATGTCACGAGCGTCCACCGCGCCAGTCTCGCTCGCGGGCGGTTTCCGCCTGTCACGAGCGTCCACCGCGCCGGTCTCGCTCGCGGGCATTTCCGCATGTCACAAATCCACCGTGCCAGTCTCGCTCGCTGGCGGTTTCCGCATGTCACGAGCGTCCACCGCGCCAGTCTCGCTCGCGGGCGGTTTCCGCCTGTCACGAGCGTCCACCGCGCCAGTCTCGCTCGCGGGCGGTTTCCGCGTGCCGCGCCAGTCTCGCTCACGGGCGGTTTCCGCTCACGAGCGTCCACCACGCCAGTCTCGCTCGCGGGCGGTTCCGGCATGTCACAAGCGTCCACCGCGCCAGTGTCGCTTGCGGGCGGTTTCCGCCTGTCACGAGCGTCCACCGCGCCAGTCTCGCTCGCGCGCGGTTTCCGCATGTCACGAGCGTCCACCGCGCCAGTCTCGCATGTCACGAGCGTCCACCGCGCCAGTCCAGTCTCGCTCGCGGGCGGTGTCCGCATGTCACGAGGGTCCACCGCGCCAGTCTCGCTCGCGGGCGGTTTCTCCATGTCACGAGCGTCCACCACGCCAGTCTCGCTCGCGGGCGGTTTCCGCAGGTCACGAGCGTCCACCGCGCCAGTCTCGCTCGCGGGCGGTTTCCGCATGTTCCACCGTCCGCATGTCACGAGGGTCCACCGCGCCAGTCTCGCTCGCGGGCGGTTTCTCCATGTCACGAGCGTCCACCACGCCAGTCTCGCTCGCGGGCGGTTTCCGCAGGTCACGAGCGTCCACCGCGCCAGTCTCGCTCGCGGGCGGTTTCCGCATGTTCCACCGCGCCAGTCTCGCTCGCGGGCGGTTTCCGCATGTCACGAGCGTCCACCGCGCCAGTCTCGCTCGCGGGCGGTTTCTGCATGTCACCATTTTTCGCTCGCGGGCGGTTTCCGCATGTCACGAGCGCGCCAGTCTCTCTCGCTCGCGGGCCAGCCTCGCGCACCCAGTCTGCACCACACCGCCGTCCCACCAGCCAGCCCCACACCGCCGTCCCCCCAGCCAGCCTCGTACGCCCGGTCTGCACCCCCAGCCGGCATCGCACGCCCGGTCTGCAGCACAACGAAATGGAAATCCCTTCTTATCTCCGTCGTCACAGCTTGTATCGCTCCCAGGCACCTTAAGAGGAAACCTAAAGCAGAACCCAAGCATCAGAGATGCTTTTGGGGAAAAAATTAGGACTCTGTTCGGATGTTCGTGCGCCCTTTTGTTTGGTCGCATATTCATGTCAACGTGCTTCCAGGCTGCTTCCAAATAAGTAGGGCGAACCCCAAGAGGCCACAGACTCTGAAGAGAGGTTTCGTCCTAGAAACACATTGGCGCCATTTGCTCGGGTCAGGTGTGCGGCAAAATAAGTAGGCCAGAGCGTGGCCTTCACAAACTTGCTTCGTAAGCTTGCTTGGATTCGCTAGTTTCGCCACCGATTTTCCCATTCGCAACCAATTGCAACTGGTGACTTTGTGGAAAGGGCCGCGCACGCTGTCAATTGGATGCGTGTGGATGGCAAGTTGTGTGGAAACGGGGCCGGCGCTGCGCTTTTGCGGGGAGGCTCGGTGTGGACGATCCTCGGTCATTTGGTGGGTCTGACGTGTGTCCGAAACAAGTCTGAGTCACAGTGTTGCCACGATTTGCGTAGACCGGGGTCAGCTGTTCGGATGTTCATGCGCCCTTTTGTTTGGGCCGAGCGTGCTCAGCATATTCATGTCAACGTGCTTCCAGGCTGCTTCCAAATACGTAGGGCGAACCCCAAGAGGCTACACCTTCTGAAGAGAGGGTTCGTCCTAGAAACACATTTGCACCATTTGTTCGGGTCAGGTGTGCGGCAAAATAAGTAGGACGAAACCCAAGAGGCCACAGCTTCTCAAGACAGGGTTCGTCCTAGAAACACATTGGCGCCATTTGTTCGGGTCAGGTGTGCGGCAAAAAGGACAATTTTGGCGTGCCTGGAACGCCGGGCTGTTCACATGGAGCCGTGCACGTGGCCTTCACAAACTTGCTTTGTAAGCTTGCTTGGATTCGTCAGTTTCTCCACCTATTTTCCCATTCGCAACCAATTGCAACTGGTGACTTTGTGGAAAGAGCCGCGCACGTTGTCAATTGGATGCGTGGGAGGGGGCTGGCGCTGTGCTTTTGCGGGGGGCTCGGCGTAGACAAGCCTCGGTCACTTGGTGGTCTGACGCCTGTCCGAAACAAGTCTGAGACACAGTGTTATAACGATCCGCGTAGACCGGGGTTAGCTGTTCGGATGTTCGTGCGCCCTTTTGTCTGGGCCGCGTGTGCTCAGCATATTCATGTCAACCTGCGTCCAGGCTGCTTCCAAATAAGTAGGGCGAACCCCAAGAGGCCACAGCTTCTCAAGAGAGTCCTAGAAACACATTGGCGTTTGTTCGGGTCCTGTGTGCGGCAAAAAGTGCGGGGGCTCGGTGTGGACAAGCCTCGGTCACTTGGTGGGTCTGACGCCTGTCTGAAACAAGTCTGAGACACAATCTGCGTAGACCGGGGTCAGCCGTTCGGATGTTCGTACGCCCTTTTGTTTGGCCGAGTGTGCTCAGCATAAACATTTTCAACGTGCTTCCAGGCTGCTTCCAAATAAGTAGGGCGAACCCCAAGAGGCCACAGCTTCTCAAGAGAGGGTTCGTCCTAGAAACACATCGGCGCCATTTGTCTCGCTCGAGGGCGGTTTCCGCCTGTCACGAGCGTCCCCGCGCCCGCGCTCGGGGGCGGTTTCTGCCTGTAGCGTCCCCCGCGCCCGTCTCGCTCGGGGGCGGTTTCGGCCTGTCACGAGCGTCCCCCGCGCCCGTCTCGCTCGGGGGCGGTTTCCGCTTGTCACGAGCGTCCACCGCGCCAGTCTTGCTCGCGGGCGGTTTCCGCACGTCACGAGCGTCCACCGCGCCAGTCTCGCTCCAGTCTCGCTCGGGGGCGGTTTTTCGGGGGCGGTTTCGACCTGTCACGAGCGTCCCCCGCGCCCGTGTCGCTCGGGGGCGGTTTCGGCGTCTGACGAGCGTCCCCCGCGCCAGTCTCGCTCGCGGGCGGTTTCCGCTTGTCACGAGCGTCCACCGCGCCAATCTCGCTCGGGGGCGGTTTCAGCCTGTCACGAGCGTCCCCCGCGCCCGTCTCGCTCGGGTCACGAGCGTCCCCCGCGCCCGTCTCGCTCGGGGGCGGTTTCGGCCTGTCACGAGCGTCCCCCGCGCCCGTCTCGCTCGGGGGCGGTTTCGGCCTGTCACGAGCGTCCCCCGCGCCCGTCTCGCTCGGGGGCGGTTTCGGCCTCTCACGAGCGTCCCCCGCGCCCCGTCTCGCTCGGGGGCGGTTTCGGCCTGTCACGAGCGTCCCCCGCGCCCGTCTCGCTCGCGGGCGGTATCCGCTTGTCACAAGCGTCCACCGCGCCAGTCTCGCTCGGGGGCGGTTTCGGCCTGTCACGAGCGTCCCCCGCGCCCGTCTCGCTCGGGGGCGGTTTCGGCCTGTCACGAGCGTCCCCCGCGCCCGTCTCGCTCGGGGGCGGTTTCGGCCTCTCACGAGCGTCCCCCGCGCCAGTCTCGCTCGCGGGCGGTTTCCGCTTGTCACGAGCGTCCACCGCGCCAGTCTTGCTCGGGGGCAGGTTCGGCCTGTCACGAGCGTCCCCCGCGCCCGTCTCGCTCGGGGGCGGTTTTGGCCTTACACGAGCGTCCCCCGCGCCCGTCTCGCTCGGGGGCGGTTTTGGCCTGTCACGAGCGTCCCCCGCGCCCGTCTCGCTCGGGGGCGGTTTGCTTGTCACGAGCGTCCCCCGCGCCCGTCTCGCTCGGGGGCGGTTTCGGCCTGTCACGAGCGTCCCCCGCGCCCGTCTCGCTCGGGGCGGTTTCGGCCTGTCACGAGCGTCCCCCGCGCCCGTCTCGCTCGGGGGCGGTTTCGGCCTGTCACGAGCGTCCCCCGCGCCCGTCTCGCTCGGGGGCGGTTTCCGCTTGTCACGAGCGTCCACCGCGCCAGTCTCGCTCGGGGGCGGTTTCGGCCTGTCACGAGCGTCCCCCGCGCCCGTCTCGCTCGGAGCGGTTTCGGCCTGTCACGAGCGTCCACCGCGCCAGTCTCGCTCGAGGGCGGTTTCCGCCTGTCACGAGCGTCCACCGCGCCCGTCTCGCTTGGGGGCGGTTTCGGCCTGTCACGAGCGTCCCCCGCGCCCGTCTCGCTCGGGGGCGGTTTCGGCCTGTCACGAGCGTCCCCCGCGCCCGTCTCGCTCGGGGGCGGTTTCGGCCTGTCACGCGCCCGTCTCGCTCGGGGGGCGGTTTCGGCCTGTCACGAGCGTCCCCCGCGCCCGTCTCGCTCGGGGGCGGTTTCGGCCTGTCACGAGCGTCCCCCGCGCCCGTCTCGCTCGGGGGCGGTTTCCGCTTGTCACGAGCGTCCCCCGCGCCCCGTCTCGCTCGGGGGCGGTTTCGGCCTGTCACGAGCGTTTCCGCATGTCACAAGCGTCCCCCGCGCCAGTCTCGCTGGGGGGCGGTTTCGGCCTGTCACGAGCGCCTCCGCGCCCGTCTCGCTCGGGGGCGGTTTCGGCCTGTCACGAGTGTCCCCCGCGCCCGTCTCGCTCGGGGGCGGTTTCGGCCTGTCACGAGCGTCCCCCGCGCCCGTCTCGCTCGGGGGCGGTTTCGGCCTGTCACGAGCGTCCCCCGCGCCCGTCTCGCTTTCGGCCTGTCACGAGCGTCCCCCGCGCCCGTCTCGCTCGGGGGCGGTTTCCGCTTGTCACGAGCGTCCACCGCGCCAGTCTCGCTCGCGGGCGGTTTCCGCATGTCCCGAGCGTCCACCGCGCCAGTGTCGCTCGGGGGCGGCTTCCGCCTGTCACGAGCGTGCCCCGCGCCCGTCTCGCTCGGGGACGGTTTCCGCTTGTCACGAGCGTCCAGCGCGCCAGTCTCGCGCACCCAGCCAGCACCACACCGCCGTCCCCCCAGCCAGCCTCGTACGCCCGGTCTGCACCCCCAGCCGGCATCGCACGCCCGGTCTGCAGCACAACGAAATGGAAATCCCTTCTTATCTCCGTCGTCACAGCTTGTATCGCTCCCAGGCACCTTAAGAGAAAACCTAAAGCAGAACCCAAGCATCAGAGATGCTTTTGGGAAAAACACCGTCTCATTTGGGCTCCGAGAGGGCATCCGCATACGCGCGGTGACTTCCGTGTCTTTTCCTAGAGGATCGTTCTTTGCACGGTGCCAAGCTGAGAAGACACAATACGACCCAACGGAACAGGAGGCGCAAGGTCAGCTCCAAGGGATCAGTTTGTTTAAGGCTCCAAAATGTTCCAGTTTCCTCACAGAGTTGCCCCCTTGGAAATAGTTTGTGTGTTTTGATTGGTACTACTGCGGTTTTCTATAAAAACGGGCTCCCTGCAATTCATCACGCTAGTGTCTTCTTGGCCATGAGGTTCAACAAAAGCCGACTCGAGGTTTACGGCCAAACAACTCAGCGTGACATCTTCTATTTGACCCTAGTTCCAGGCCGAATCTCCCCATGTCAGCTGATCAGAGATGGTATTGCCAAATACCAATACACAAGTTCCAACGGCTGCGACTTAGCCTCCCCTACTGTTCGGACTTGAGATGCGCACTATTTCCGTGCTTTCTGAGTCAATCTGTTCAGCTACAAGAGGGACCACCAAAGGGGCGTCGAACTTAAGGAATCCTCTTTTGCAGACGTTTTCATGGCCCACCCACAATGGTTGTTGGCTGAATAGTGATGAACATTGGCTTAGATTGGAGAATATGTCTCTCAGACCACGACCTTTTCACTGAGTGGCTTCTCTGATGGGCTGCCTCAGGTAAAGAGCGCGGCCGACCTCCAAACGGCGAAGGCTGGGGGCGTTGCTTCAAGTGCGAGGCCCTGTTGTAAGCCACAATTGAGACTATTTTGAGGGGCTATGCTACAAGGTGAATGCCACTCCATGTTCCACAGCATCCTTACTATCCATGGGAGAGACCAGGCAAAGTTGCACCTAGAGCAGATATCTCTACGGGTAGCTCGGAGTCTGGCTCGAAGGAGCTGCTGCCTGGAGCCATCTTGGTGGCCTTCGTGGTCTTCCTCTCCTCCTTCGCCGGGGCCAAGAAGTTCGCCATGAAGGACACTGGGTTCCATCGTGGCGCCTCGGCGCGTCGGGTGCCAGGGAGCTCGGGAGCTCGGGAGCTCGGGAGTCAAGTGAAATCCGGATCACAAAGTGGGACCATACCTTTGGCCTTGGTCGAACGAGGTACCAACTCCCTCCAAAGGCGACTTGAGCAGCCATCTTTGCAGTACTGGGCCAGGCTTTTTGCAACATGCCTGTGCCACAGGTTACATGTTTTTCCACTGATTCTATCATGACTGCGTGGCCAATGATGCCTTTTTTGTTTGCGATATTGTCCACAAAAACATGGCGGTGGCCACATGACGGGCATCTTTCGAGCTTGAGCCCACGCTGCCACGAGCTGCATTTCGTTCAACCCACTGGTGTGTGCCATGACACCATCGTTTGCTGGGCCAACATCCAGGCAAGTGTTTGACTGCATGTCAGCATATTTCGACAGCAAATGCTATCTTTGCCGCTTTTCTTTCGAAGTTGGCTTCCACCTTCAACATCACACCACCCAAAAAGAAACTTGGCGCCCTCTTTGTCCCCCCTTTTGGTGCACCGGAAAGCTTCCCCATTCCCCCAAAAAACACACAAACACAACAAACACATGGGCGCCAGTTTGGCTCAAAGTGGGCACTTGGGCCGTAGGACGGCTATCAGATCCGTGCCTTCAACGAGCTCATGGCCCTGGGCTTCGCCAACATGCTGGGGGCGCTCACGGGCTCGGTGCCTACGCAGATCGGCCTCTCCCGCGCCTTGGATCGGAGGGGAGGGGAAGAGAACATGGGATTTTGTGCGTGTGTGTGTGTGTTCTTTTTTTTCTGTTTTTGGGGGGGATTTGTTTTGTGTGTGTGTGTGTGTGTGTTTTTTTGAGGGGGGGGGCTCGTTTTTTAGGTTGCTTTGCAGGAACTCCGAAAGGAGAACCGCGCTTATTTTGACAGAGGGGACAGTATTCTAGCCCCACAATTGCTCACAAGCAACAACGCAACTCATGTGTCGCATATCTGGACAAGTTCGGGGGTCGAACGGGCTCACTTCTTTGGGAGGTCCTCGCATTCCCGGTTTGCACATCATAGTAATTAATCCAGATTGCTGTGGGAAATTAGGCTGCGGAGTGCGGGGAGTGAATCAGAGGTTGATTCCGAGAAATTGGTCGCCGGAGCTTGGTCTGAGGGCTGTTCCCATTCTGAGCAACCTGGAATTCACATGAGCAGCGCCATAAATCCTGACAATACAAATCAGTACAGGGGCGTGTCCTATAGAATCCCCGTGAAAGCCAAAATGCAGGCCGCGAAAGCTTGCGAAAGCTTATCGCGAAAATAACTAAAGAAGGTCCCGCCGCGAAAGCCCCGCGAAAGCCTGCATGCTGATGATGAGCGGCACTGCTGTTCGCTCACTTTGCAGAAAGGCGCGTCAACAGGAACCTGCAGCTTCTGAGCTCATGCAGCCCAAAGGGTGTGACAGTCCGTCGCGAAAGCGCCGCGAAAGCAATTCTAAAGCAATCGAAGTTCGCGAAAGCAAAACATGGGGTCGCGAAGGCATTGCGAAAGGGTCCGCAAAAGCAAGTTCATAGTACCTCTTTTTGCAAGAGTATTCGGCACGGCTCACATGAAGCCAAGAAGCGTATCTTGGTTCCTAGCTCCGACCTTGCGGATGAAACAAACTGTTCACAAGAACGACACAACAATTCACACTCACACCGGCTGGATTCAGAGGACGCTGCAATACTGCATCACTGTACCTATGAGTTTGGCATTGACGCTTGGCCCATTCGGAGGCATTCAGAACATGAATTTAGCAGCCTGTCGATGGGGGCTGTCGCTTTTCAGTGGGCTTGTGGGCCATTCTGGCGCCTTGCCTGAGGTATGGGCATCGCGCACCAGGCAAGGAGCTTTGTGGACTCATTTGGGTAGGAGCTCCAGTTCCGTTTGGCTTTCCTTGAGGCCAAGGAGAAAAGCTCACCCCAGATAGCAACAAACAAACACACACGCAGAGAGAGAGACACACACACACACACACACACACACACACACACACACACACACACACACACACACACACACACACACACACACACACACACACACACACACACACACACACACACACACACACACACACACACACACACACACACACACACACACACACACACACACACACACACACAACACACACACACACACCACACAACCACACAACCACACAACCACACAACCACACAACCACACAACCACACAACAACACAACAACCAACCAACCAACCAACCAACCAACCAACCAACCAACCAACCAACCAACCAACCAACCAACCAACCAACCAACCAACCAACCAACCAACCAACCAACCAACCAACCAGACAACAACCAACCAACCAACCAACCAACCAACCAACCAACCAACCAACCAACCAACCAACCAACCAACCAACCAACCAACCAACCAACCAACCAACCAACCAACCAACCAACCAACCCAACCAACCAACCAACCAACCAACCAACCAACCAACCAACCAACCAACCAACCAACCAACCAACCAACCAACCAACCAACCAACCAACCAACCAACCAACCAACCAACCAACCAACCAACCAACCAACCAACCAACCAACCAACCAACCAACCAACCAACCGCACACACACACACACCACACGCACACGCGCACACACACACACACACTTAGTATTTTTCGGCCTCGCGCTGTGGGAGGCTCGTGTTGTCTCCCCATCTCCGGGGGAAGGCCACAACTGTCGTCCACGCAACCGCCGAGTTGGAAGGGCACTTGTCGTGTTCTTCTGGAAGCGCCTGAGTGACGTTTATTCACTTGGATGGATCTACTTTGTTTACGACCTCTTCGTGTGGTCCCGGCTGCTCATCGAGGCCCCCTAAATGTTAACGCCTCCGGCTCAGGCCGCCGACATTACAGGCCTGCTTTCTTATTTGCGTCCCTTTGGAATTGTCCCCTTGCCCCCTTCCCCTGTGAGATTTTTGCCCCCCTTTCTTTGTTGAGATCCATTCCCCCTTTCCGCCCTAAGGCCTTTTCTCCCTCTGTTTTTTTCCCTTTTCCTCCCTAAGATGTTTTCCCCCCTCTCCCTGTTGAGATCCTTTCCCCCCTTTCCCCCCTAAGGCCTTTTCCCCCCTGAGATCTTCTCCCTTTTCCTCCCTTTCCCCCACTTTCCCCCCTACGGCCTTTTCCTCCCTGGGATCTTTTCCCTTTCCTCCCTGAGATCTTTCCCCCCCTTTCCCTGTTGGAATCCTTTCCCCCCTTTCCCCCCTACGGCCTTTCCCCCCGCTGAGATCTTCTCCCTATTCCTCCTTAAGATCCTTTGCCCCCTTTCCCTGTTGAGATCCTTTCCCCCTTCCCTTTAAGGCCTTTCCAGATCTTCTCCCTTTTCCTTCCTAAGATTGTTTCCCCCCTTTCCCTGTTGAGATCCTTCCCACCCTTTCCCGCCTAAGGCCTTTCCCCCCCTGAGAGCTTCTCCCTTTTCCTTCCTTAGATCTTTCCCCCCTTTCCCTGTTGGCCTTTTTTCCCCCAGATCTTCTCCCTTTCCTCCCTAAGATCTTTTACACCCCTTTCCCTGTTGAGATCATTTCTCCCCTTTCCCCCCTAAGGCCTTTGCCTCCAGATCTTTCCCCCCCTTTCCCTGCTCAGACCTTTCCCCCCTTTCCCCCCTAAGGCCTTTCCCCCCCGAGATCTTCTCCCTTTTCCTCCCTAAGATCTTTTGCCACCTTTCCCTGTTGAGATCCATTCCCCCTTTCCCCCCCTAAGGCCCTTTCTCCCTCTGAGTGTTTCCCTTTTCCTCCCTACGATATTTTCCCCCCTCTCCCTGTTGAGATCCTTTCCCTCCTTTCCCCCCTAAGGCCGTTTTTCCCCCCGCGATCTTCCCCCTTTTCCTTCCTAAGATCTTTTCCCCCCTTTCCTTGTTGAGATCCTTTCCCCCCTTTCCCCCCTAAGGCCTTTCCCCCCCTGAGATCTTCTCCCTTTTCCTCCCTAAGATCCTTTGCCCCCTTTCCCTGTTGAGATCCTTTCCCCCCTTTCCCCCCTAAGGCCTTTCCCCCCCTGAGATCTTCTCCCTTGTCCTCCCAAGATCTTCTCCCTTTTCCTCCCTAGGATCTTCTCCCACCTTTCCCTGTTGAGCTCCTTTCCCCCTTTTCCCCCTAGGGCCTTTTCAGATCTTCTCCCTGTACCTCCCGAAGATCCTTTGCCCCCTTTCCCTGTTGAGATCCTTTCCCCCTTTCCCCCCTAAGGCCTTTTGCTTGCCTGGGATCTTCTCCCTTTCCTCACTGAGATCTTTCCTCCCCTTTCCCTGTTGAGATCCTTTCCCTCCTTTCCTTCCTAAGGCCTTTCCCCCCGCTGAGATCTTCGCCCTATTCCTCCTTAAGATCCTTTGCCCCCTTTCCCCGTTGAGATCCTTTCCCCCCTTCCCTTTAAGGCCTTTCCAGATCTTCCCCCTTTTCCTTCCTGAGATTGTTTCCCCCCTTTCCCTGTTGAGATCCTTCCCACCCTTTCCCGCCTAAGGCCTTTCCCCGCCTGAGAGCTTCTCCCTTTTCCTTCCTTAGATCTTTCCCCCCTTTCCTTGTTGAGATCCTTTCCCGCCCTTTCCCCCCTAAGGCGTTTTCCCCCCCAAGATCTTCTCCCTTTTCCTCCCTAAGATCCTTTGCCCCCTTTCGCTGTTGAGATCCTTTCCCCCCTTTCCCCCCTAAGGCCTTTCCCCCCCTGAGATCTTCTCCCTTGTCCTCCCCAAGATCTTTTCCCTTGGTTGAGATCCTTTCCCCCTTTCCCTCGAGATCTTCTCCCTTTTCCTCCCTAGGATCTTCTCCCACCTTTCCCTGTTGAGCTCCTTTCCCCCTCTTCCCCCGAAGGCCTTTTCAGATCTTCTCCCTTTTCCTCCCTAAGATCCTTTGCCCCCTTTCCCTGTTGAGATCCTTTCCCCCTTTCCCCCCTAAGGCCTTTTCCCTGCCTGGGAGCTTTTCCCTTTCCTCACTGAGATCTTTCCCCCCCTTTCCCTGTTGAGATCCTTTCCCTCCTTTCCTTCCTAAGGCCTTTCCCCCCGCTGAGATCTTCTCCCTATTCCTCCTTAAGATCCTTTGCCCCCTTTCCCCGTTGAGATCCTTTCCCCCCTTCCCTTTAAGGCCTTTCCAGATCTTCTCCCTTTTCCTTCCTAAGATTGTTTCCCCCCTTTCCCTGTTGAGATCCTTCCCACCCTTTCCCGCCTAAGGCCTTTCCCCCCCTGAGAGCTTCTCCCTTTTCCTTCCTTAGATCTTTCCCCCCTTTCCCTGTTGGCCTTTTTTCCCCCAGATCTTCTCCCTTTCCTCCCTAAGATCTTTTCCACCCCTTTCCCTGTTGAGATCATTTCTCCCCTTTCCCCCCTAAGGCCTTTGTCCCCAAATCTTCTCCCTTTCCTCCCTAAGATCTTTCCCCCCCCCTTTCCCTGCTGAGATCCTTTCCCCCCTAAGGCCTTTCCCACCCCTGAGAGCTTCTCCCTTTTCCTTCCTAAGATCTTTTCCCCCCTTTCCCTGTTGGGCTTTCTTCCCTAAGTCCTTTTCTCCCAGATCTTCTCCCTTTCCTCCCTAAGATCTTCCCCCCCTTTCCTCCCTAAGATCTTTCCCACCCTTTCCCTGTTGAGATCCTTTCCCCCCTTTCCCTCCCAAGGCCTTTCCCACTTGAGAGCTTCTCCCTTTTCCTTCCTAAGATCTTTTCCCCCCTTTCCCTGTTGGGCCTTCCCCCCTAAGTCCTTTTCTCCCAGATCTTCTCCCTTTCCTCCCTAAGACCTTCCCCCCCCCCCCTTTTCCTTCTTAAGATTGTTTTCCCCCTTTCCCTGTTGAGATCCTTCCCACCCTTTCCCGCCTAAGGCCTTTCCCCCCCTGAGAGCTTCTCCCTTTTCCTTCCTTAGATCTTTCCCCCCTTTCCCTGTTGGCCTTTTTTCCCCCAGATCTTCTCCCTTTCCTCCCTAAGATCTTTTCCACCCCTTTCCCTGTTGAGATCATTTCTCCCCTTTCCCCCCTAAGGCCTTTGCCCCCAGATCTTCTCCCTTTCCTCCCTAAGATCTTTCCCTTCCTTTCCCTGCTCAGATCCTTTCCCCCCTTTCCCCCCTAAGGCCTTTCCCCCCCTGAGATCTTCTCCCTTTTCCTCCCTAAGATCTTTTGCCACCTTTCCCTGTTGAGATCCATTCCCCCTTTCCCCCCTAAGGCCCTTTCTCCCTCCGAGTTTTTCCCTTTTCCTCCCTACGATGTTTTCCCCCCTCTCCCTGTTGAGATCCTTTCCCTCCTTTCCCCCCTAAGGCCGTTTTTCCCCCCGCTAAGATCTTCCCCCTTGTTGAGATCCTTTCCCGCCCTTTCCCCCCCGTTTTCCCCCCCAAGATCTTCTCTTTTCCTCCCTAAGATCCTTTGCCCCCTTTCGCTGTTGAGATCCTTTCCCCCCTTTCCCCCCTAAGGCCTTTCCCCCCCTGAGATCTTCTCCCTTGTCCTCCCCAAGATCTTTTCCCTTGGTTGAGATCCTTTCCCCCTTTCCCCCGAGATCTTCTCCCTTTTCCTCCCTAGGATCTTCTCCCACCTTTCCCTGTTGAGCTCCTTTCCCCCTTTTCCCCCTAAGGCCTTTTCAGATCTTCTCCCTTTTCCTCCCTAAGATCCTTTGCCCCCTTTCCCTGTTGAGATCCTTTCCCCCTTTCCCCCCTAAGGCCTTTTCCCTGCCTGGGAGCTTCTCCCTTTCCTCACTGAGATCTTTCCCCCCCTTTCCCTGTTGAGATCCTTTCCCTCCTTTCCTTCCTAAGGCCTTTCCCCCCGCTGAGATCTTCTCCCTATTCCTCCTTAAGATCCTTTGCCCCCTTTCCCCGTTGAGATCCTTTCCCCCCTTCCCTTTAAGGCCTTTCCAGATCTTCTCCCTGTTCCTTCCTGAGATTGTTTCCCCCCTTTCCCTGTTGAGATCCTTCCCACCCTTTCCCGCCTAAGGCCTTCCCCCCTGAGAGCTTCTCCCTTTTCCTTCCTTAGATCTTTCCCCCCTTTCCCTGTTGGCCTTTTGTCCCCCAGATCTTCTCCCTTTCCTCCCTAAGATCTTTTCCACCCCTTTCCCTGTTGAGATTATTTCTCCCCTTTCCCCCCTAAGGCCTTTGTCCCCAGATCTTCTCCCTTTCCTCCCTAAGATCGTTCCCCCCCCCTTTCCCTGCTGAGATCCTTTTCCCCCCTTTCCCCCCTAGGGCCCCTAAGGCCTTTCCCCCCCCTGAGAGCTTCTCCCTTTTCCTTCCTAAGATCTTTTCCCCCCTTTCCCTGTTGGGCTTTCCCCCCTAAGTCCTTTTCTCCCAGATCTTCCCCCTTTCCTCCCTAAGATCTTCCCCCCCCTTTCCTCCCTAAGATCTTTCCCACCCTTTCCCTGTTGAGATCTTTGTTCCCCTTTCCCTCCCAAGGCCTTTCCCCCCCTGAGAGCTTCTCCCTTTTCCTTCCTAAGATCTTTTCCCCCCTTTCCCTGTTGGCCTTTTTTCCCCAGATCTTCTCCCTTTCCTCCCTAAGATCTGTTCCACCCCTTTCCCTGTTGAGATCATTTCTCCCCTTTCCCGATCTTCTGCCTTTCCTCCCCAAGATCTTTCCCCCCCCCTGTTCCCTGTTGAGACCATTTATTTCCCCCCTTTTCCTTCTAAGGCCTTTTCCCACCCTCAGTTCTTCTCCCTTTTCCTCCCAAAGATCTTTCCCCCCCTTTCCTCCCTAAGTCCTTTTCCCTTGAGATCTTCACCCTTTTCCTCCCCTAAGATCTTTTGCGACCTTTCCCTGTTGAGAGCCTTTCCCCCCTTTCCCCCCTAGAGCCTTTTTTTCTCCCCACTTTCCTTGTTGAGATCCTTTCCCCACCTTTCCCCCCTAAGGCCTTTTCCTTCGCTGAGATCTTCTCCCTATTCCTCCTTAAAATCCTTTGCCCCCTTTCCCCGTTGAGATCCTTTCCGCCTTCCCTTTAAGGCCTTTCCAGATCTTCTCCCTGTTCCTTCCTAAGATTGTTTCCCCCCTTTCCCTGTTGAGATCCTTCCCACCCTTTCCCGCCTAAGGCCTTTCCCACCCTGAGAGCTTCTCCCTTTTCCTTCCTTAGATCTTTCCCCCCTTTCCCTGTTGGCCTTTTTTCCCGCAGATCTTCTCCCTTTTCCTCCCTAAGATGTTTTCCCCCCTTTCCCTGTTGAGACCTTTCCCCCCTTTCCCCCCTAAGGCCTTCTCCCTTTGCCTCCCCAAGATCTTTTCCCCCGGTTGAGATCCTTTCCCCCTTTCCCCTCGAGATCTTCTCCCTTTGCCTCCCTAGTATCTTTTCTCCCTGTCCCTGTTGAGATCCTTTCCCCCCCTTTCCCCCCGAAGGCCCGTTCAGATCTTCTCCCTTTTCCTCCCTAAGATCATTTGCCCCCGTTCCGTGTTGAGATCCTTTCCCCATTTCCCCCTAAGGCCTTTCCCCCCCTGAGATCTTAAGGCCGTTTCCCCCCCTGAGATCTTCTCGCTTTTCGATCCTTTCCCCCCCTTTCCCTTCCCCCCCCTGAGATCATATCCCTTTTCCTCCTTTTTCCTCCCTAAGATGTTTTCCCGCCATTCCCTGTTGAGATCCTTTCCCCCCTTTCCCCCCTAAGGCCTTTTCCCCCCTGAGATCTTCTCCCTTTTCCTCCCTAAGAGCTCCCACCTTTCTTTATTGAGATCCTTTCCCCCCTGTCCCCCCTAAGGCCTTTTCGCACCCTGAGTTCGTCTCCCTTTGCCTCTCTAAGATCTTTTCCCCCCTTTCCCGCTTAAGATCCTTCCCCCGTTTCCCCTAAAGCCTTTTCCCCCCAAGATCTCCACCCTTCTCTTCCCAAAGTCTTTTTCCCCCTTTCCCGTTTGAGATCCTGTCCCCCCATTGCCCCGTAGGGCCTGTTCCCCCCGAGAAAGATTTCCCTTTTCCTCCCAAAGATCTTTTCCCCCCTTTCCCCCTTAAGGTTTTCCCCAGATCTTCTCCCTTTCCTCCCTGAGATCTTTCCCCCCCTTTCGCTGTTGAGATCCTTTCCCCCTTTCCCCCCTTCATTTCCTTCACCAGCATGGGCAACATCCCCAGCATCACTTGCATCATCCGCATCCTTGGCAGGCGCTGATGCGGATGATGCAGGTGATGCTGGATCCTTTCCCCCGTTTCCCCCCTAAGGCCTTTTCCCCCCAAGATCTCCACCCTTCTCTTCCCAAAATCTGTTTCCCCCTTTCCCGTTTGAGACCTGTCCCCCCATTGCCCCGTAGGGCCTGTTCCCCCCGAGAAAGAGCTCTCGCAGTCCAGCGGGCCCGTGGAGGCCGCCCCGGTGACTGTCAGCGTGGCGCCCGTGAGCGCATCGCCAGCATCACCTACATCATCCGCATCAGCGCCTGCCAAGGATGCGGATGATGCAAGTGGTGCTGGGGATGTTGCCCATGGAAAGATCTCAGGGAGGAAAGGGAGAAGATCTGGGGAAAAAATGCCTTAAGGGGGAAAGGGGGGAAAAGATCTTTGGGAGGAAAAGGGAACTCATTGACGGCCTCGGGCGCAGCGACGGCGGCGAGCTTCGCAGCCACCGGGGTGCCGCTGGAGCTGCTAAGGATGCGAAAGCGCAAGCCCGCACAATGAACAGATTTAGTGAAGCGTCTTCGAATCACCGCGTGGTACGTGGACTCCCCCCTGGTGCCCCTGGGGAGGGGTTAGGGGAGGGGTAACAGGTAAAGAGGTAAGGAGCATTTTTTGTGTCCAACACGCCGTCTGTTGTCGGCGGAATTTGCTCATAACCTTTCCAGTTCGCGGCAACGTTCTGAGCTATTTTATCTGGGGGGCGAAAGAAGCTTCCTGGTGGCGCAGATACTGCAATCCAGCTTGCTCCAGCACTGAGAGAAAGAGTCAGTACTATTGACCCGCTTTTGGAATTGCAGAATAGCATCACCCCGGCTCCCTCAGACACTTCACAAGCAGATGTACCCTAGGAATCGTTTGCCGAAGTGGGCAGATACAGCGCGTTGTATTATCTTCAATATGGTGCGTATGTGTTGATTGTTTCTTGAGTCGTTGGCTTCATTTGCCTCGGCAAGGCTGGGGTCAAGAGCCAGCTCGGGGCGAACATTGTGGTTGGAGCGGCGTGGCAGTGGAGTATGCAATCAGATGGAGACAGTCCGTTTATCCGTTTACCTTTTCTTCAACCAAAGGCAAAGACTTTTTGCCTGGGTCCAAGCCCGGATTTGAGCCCCGGCCATGGATCTCGTCCTTTCGCAGCATGTGGGATGTAGTGAAATGTTTTCGGACGAGCACGACTAGAAACGTTAACGAGTCGTGTCGCTGAGATGTAGACTTCGAAGAGTTGCTCCAAACGCCGTGCTGTCAAAGCTGGGTAGCCAGTTAGCAAGGCCAGGTATGTTGGACCCCCAGATTGAGTTCGTTGATTGCAGCACTCCTCCAGAACACTTGATGCCCATAGTTCAGCCTTCATGCGAGCTGGTGCCCGTCGCAAGTGGAGTGGCCTTTTGCAAGCCTTCTGACTCTGGCCCAAAGAGTCCAATACGGTAAGCCCAGTTGACAAGTCATGACACGTTGAGATTTGGAAGTGCTGTGCGTTCTAGGCTGGAAAACAGAAGAGGAAGCTTCATGTTGTTTGAGATGAGGCCGTTTGACACTTTTTTCCTACGTACCTGATCCCACGGACATGTTCATTGCTGAACCGTTTGGCTGGTATATCCAATTTGAGCACACGGCAGTCCGTATGAGGAGGGTCTCTGAGTTGCTGCTTTGAGGTGGTGGTTTGCTTGGGCGTGCTCCTCTTCAGCAGGCGGGGATTCGGGATCCTGCTGCCAGCCATGTTGACAGGTGACTCAACTTGGATGCCTACTAAAATGCATGTGCTTCATCTTCCAGGACCCTGGAAAAGCAGGCCTTTGGCCGAATTTCCATTTGGTTTCGCGGGTCCTTGGAAGACCAAGGATGTACTTGTCAATCTGGAACATGCCGCTTGTGAAGGGGGACGCGGAGCCCCCTCGCGACCTTGTGTTCACACGCAAAGGGCGGTTCCAAGAAAGGAGTTCGCACTGAAAGCTATTTGCGCTCGAAATTGGCCAAGATTGAAGATGCGTTGAGTCTTTGACCCATGCTCTTTGGAAAGAGGTCATGGACCACTTGGTTGATCTCCTTTTCCCATCACCGTACCAGACAGCAAATCACAAGTAGTTAGGCATGATCATTCCTTGTCACTATGCTGCCCACACAGCGTGGTGGGCAGCCGAGGCCAGTTGGGTGACCGGTGTGAGGTTTTCTTGCCCTTGACATGGCAGTTACATCCAGCACGTGCCCATGTGCGTGCTGAATGCGATCATTGTGAATGGCGCCTCGCACCTGACGGAGTTCGATCAGGCAGGCCGACGAGAGTTTGGGCAGACCTACCCGCATTCTAGTAAAAGGTTCCCAACCTATAGCAGTCGAAATGTTGGGAATCAGGCCCGGAGTGCCATCAAACAAGGTGTTCGATGATGTTTTAGGGATGGGGGAGACACCTCGAAAGACATTGGTTTCGGAATCTAGCACCTGAATCATACTGAGTACCGAGTCATCAAATCTTGGGATGACATAACCTCACCCAAACCAGGGTTGCGGGAACAAGTTGTTTTCCCCCACGGTCAAAACAATGGGGTGAAGACTTGGCTCTTTGGAGTGACAACCCCGCCGACCTTCTGGTTGGACAAATTTGTTTTTTCCCACACCTAGCAAATGTGTATCGACCTTTTGCTCAGGGGTCTTGGAGAAGCCCAGAAAATCCCTGGTGTCCAGAAGTCAATCAATCCCGACTTTTGCTGCACCTTTTGGCAGTTCCCCCCTTACCCAAATCGGGTTTTGGCTCACCATGGAGCGCTACCCGAAGGCAAAGCCCAGACATTTCGAGATGGAATCACCCGACCTTGAGCCTTTCAACAAAATCTTACTGCGAATCGACCGTTTTGATCTTGGGGGTGGCCAGAACTTTCTGGGCCGTAAGTTGTAGGGCTCCGAGGAACTCCGATGGATGAGTAGTAGTTGTTCAATCTTTCCAGACCCTCAACCTTACACTCAGGCTTCCCCTACACTGCAAACAACAGGTTTCGGAAAGTCACACGGGTGTTCTCCAAGAAAATCCCTGACTTCACGAAACAGGTTAGTTTTCATTGGTGTGCTCTTGTGAATTCGTTCTCCAAGAGAGGCATCGTGTTGTCAGTAGCGACCTGGTCCCATATCAATAGCAGGCGCTAGCGCAATCCGTTGAACGGCCGTCACTTCACGAGAAGAGGACTATAGAAACCAATCGCTGCGTCGTATAAACTTGTTCCGAGCTTGCTCAGCACACTTGCGCACGCAGAGCAGCTTGCGCGGAACTCTTGGGCCGAGCACTTGCACGGAGCAAGACTTGCACAGAGTTCGCAGCACTGAAGCTTATCAGTCCCAAAAGGACACGTATAAGCACGTGCGCGGCAAAGCTTTGGCATGGAAATGTGTGGGCAGTCTGTGCAGACACTGTTGAGCAGCCGTTTACGTCACGTTTACCTCGAGGCTTAGCGTAGCCTTGTGGCTTGGTGGAAGTTCTTGCGTTGTGGCTTTGAGGTTTCTGAGGTTTGCAGGTTGACGACCCAGTGTTTGCTTAGAGTTTCTGCAAGAAGGCAAGCAAGCGCACACACACGCATGAAACCAACACTCACTTTCCATTATGTTTTTCGGGCCACCCGGGTTTTAGTTCATTGTCGCTCGGCGTGCAATCATCTCCCAGCACCCTTTCTGCCCCCCACCTCAAGATGGGCAGATCCGTGAAACGTGTGTTTTGGCCGTGCTGTGGGAGAAATCATTAAATCTGGAGCGCTGAACTCAAGTTCACCAACAAAAAAAGGTTTCCCGGTTGCTCCTGGAACGGGTTTCGGGCAGGCACCCTCAAACAGATTGAAAACCACGTGCCCTGGTGTCAGAAGAGCAATCAAGGCCCATGTAGATGTTTTGTTTGTGGGCCCTGTTGGTTGGTTTTAAAGGGAAACCAAGAGTGCGCAAATCTGAGACAAACCCGCGTGAACGTTTGCAGGCTGTGGAGCTCTGGAAGTTTGCCACCAATAAGCGATACAACTGGAAGACACGAGGACCCGACTCCGGTGCTCCGCTTCCTGTACTCTGTTTGCTCAGTTTGTGCATGTAACCTTATTCAATGTTTTCCCTTGTGCCTGTTTAGCGCAGGGCCGCAGTGCCTGAATAATGTTAAAGACATATGGTCATGCCCACTTGCAATGTATCCCACCCAACAGGACTTGATACTCAGTAGCGTGGCGGGCATGGCTTTGTCGTGCTTAAGTCTTTAAATCCGACTCAAGGAGAACATGTTTTTGCCAGAAGGGGGTTGGAAGTCGGAGTGCCCCGCTCTGAGAAAGCTGGGGAATGATTGTGCGTCGATCCTGGCCAACATGTTGCATTCCTTCCGTCTTTAGCCGTGGTCTGCACTCGTTCAGCGATTCAAACCCATGTCGTGCCAATGTGTCATCCCGAGTCTGTGTCTCAACCGCTTTTGAAGAAGGACTCCTTCCACCGCCGCTTTGTGCTCGTGGTGTTGTGTCCCACTCCCGAAGTATACATCCTCACTCATGTGTACACAGATACGGCAGCCGTTGTCCTTTTGCGGTGATGTTCCCCCTGGCCCCCCTGGTGTGTCTATCCACAGCAGGATCAATCTCCCTTTTTCAAATTAAGGAGCAACGCTCTCGTGCGGGGGTTAGCGCTAATCCAAACCACTTTCGCCAGGAGACATGCTGACCTGGATCATCGGCTTCTGCATGCGGCTCAAAACCCACAGCTGTGGTTTGACAGTGTGTGTTTTGCGAAGGTGCTCGTTTTGAAAAAGAAATCGTTTTGTTGTTTGAGAGGGGTCCCCCTGTTTGGACACACATCTCACATATTTGTCTGGCATCATTGGACTGTTGTACGTGAACAAAGGGGTCTTGTTTTTGGTTGCTCCCCAATGAAGTTGGTGATGCTGGGGATAGGCTTGGGGTAGATGCTGGCTTTTGTGAGTGCTTCCTTCAGCAACGCTGCCCTTGACTTTCGTTCAAAGCTATCTAGCTTGAGATTTGCGTGTTTTCGAGTGGCAGGTGACTTTCAGCTCCCACACTGCTTCAGGCGTGCAACTTGTGATTTAACACCCAGCGTGCCTGGCACAAATTGCGGCGAGGGCTCGCGCGAGTGGTCCCATTGCTTTGATCCATGTCATTGAGCAATCTTCAAGCTTCGGGGCGTTTGTTACGCCGCACAATCGGTATGTTGTTTCATGTGTGATATGTAGTCACCCAACCAGGTCCTTATGCATGTTCCAACCCAAAGTCAGTCGCCCACGGCTTCTATCCTGTGCTCTAAGGCTGCACCCTCTACTTTGGCGCTTTTCAGGGTACCTTGGCTCGAGATTGGAGACAGCTGAGCTGCGTCCTTGTTTTTGCATGGGCTTTGCGCGGGGGGCCTATGTACCATACAATTGGCAAGCTTGAGACGACTTTGGGCCAAGCTGGAGTTGTCACAGGTCGCTAGATGAGTCGGCGCAAAGTAGTCTATATGAAGAGTACTTGAACAAAGCCGGCGTCTGTGGGTAGTCGTTTGCCACCTGTGTCACAATCAAACTTTACAGGCTAGTTTCAGTTGATGTGATGCATGCAGATCATCCAGGCCCTGGGTATTGGCAGATCCCAAATCCGAGGAATGCTGTCAGCAGTCTTCGCATCTTTGATCATCATCCTGTATCAGGTCGGGCAGTTCTTGGACTTGCGCCTGCGGAACTGTGCATCTTGTCCCGTGCAGATTCTTGCAAGCGACCGAATCAGTCGTCTATGCCCTTGAGCAGAGATGATACGGACCCAATCCAGAGAGGTAGGCAGACATGTTTGAACGGCTGATGTGGGCATTGCCCAAACGGTAGGAACGGAGCTTGCAGGAAGCCAACACGTCTCACTCAAAGGCCTCCCTTTGACTTGCAAATCGGAGAGGACTTCGGTTTCATCTTGGCCGTTGGCAAATGCACAAGATCGCTCCGAACAAAAACCATTTTGACAACTGGTCCTGGGTCGAAACGAAGCCGGACCTTTGTTGGAGCTTCCTCTACCGAGAGGAACCAGTGCGCAAGCGTCAGACAGTTGAAGGTTCCAACTTTTCTGTGCACACGCACCTAAAAGACTACCCGTCCAGCAAGTCCGTGGATGTGTTGCCAACGCTCATGACTGTTACGAAAGGGCATTCCACAAATTTGAGGGAATTTCTTTGGTATTTACCATGATTTACATACCAAAACAGGAACCCTTTGCTTTTAGGGGCCCTTTTTCGACCTAGCAACCGGCTCGGGCACTTTGGGCCCGATAGCAGGTGGTGAACCCGGACATCGTGCAGCTGGGCTTCCGCGAGGGCGACGTCATGGACGCCGCAAGGCGGCTTCGTCGCGGTTGGGGCGAGGGTGGCGGCTTGGAGCTACGTACATGGGGCCCCCCAAAAGCACAATTTCATGCAGGGTTGGCCATATGCAGAATCTTAATATTTTATTTTATTTTTCTGGGCTAGCCCGGAGTGGGGTCTATATGAGGGGTGTGCCAAAGGCTGGACCCGAGAAAGGCAAAGATTGGGCTTGGGGGTGCATTTTGGTAGGAGGCAGTTTCCACATTTAAGTCGTGATGCAACCAATTTACACGTGGGTATGCTTCAATCAGGGCGGACACCCCACAATGGTGTTTTTCGTTTTGGTGTCCCTTTAACCCAAGGTCAAAATGATGGCACCCTCAAAAAATAAGACATGCGCAACTTGCTGGTACCTGCCTGGGGGCGTTTGAAAGACCAGTTTCATTTACCAAGGACCTTTTGGATTCCATGTTCGTGGATGGGATGCTTAAGTTGCAACCATGCAGTAAGTGGGATAACGTGGTGTTCATTCACTTATCACATGGGGCATCTAACCTAATTGTCAAACAACAATGGTGGTTGGGGGAAGCCTTGTTGCAAAGGGGACACCACATGGAAGCTACTCAAGCAATAGCTCCCTTTTGTGTCCCCATTGAGAGTTGATCAAATAGGTCCCTGCAAGGAGATATGTATTCGGTGACCATTGGTGTTGATTTAAGTCCCTCCGCGAAAGATCCGTTGGGTTCTTAGAGGTATGCCCGTGCACTATCGTGCACATATATATATATATATATATCTATATATATATATATATTTGCAGACCCCACTCGCTTGTAGACAGGGAGATGTGCAGCACGTTTGCTTGCATCCTTGTTTCCCTGCCGGTGCTGAGAATGGTGCGAGGAAAAACATTGGCTGGGCTATGTTGGAGCAAGTTTCGGCAAGATCCGCGAAAGGCTGGCGAAAGTTCACGGAGCTTGTGGCAAGGTTCGGCAGGTTGGGCCCAGGACGGAGCATTCCCGGCAAGCACAAGTGGCAATGGCGAATGATAGTGACTGCTTTCATTTCTCGCTGCTGCAAGCCTGCCAGCTTTGCTTTCTGTCAAACAAGCGAATTCGCCTTTTTCAAGTTGGGATCACCTACATAGGCATTCCGAGTTCTGAGATATTGATCCTTTGCGTTTGCCTTTGCAAAAAGGTCCTTGGTCTGGTTATTTGAGCAAAATTGGCAACCTCTGCATGGAGCCCGTTAGTCCATGGGCGCCAGTAGTACAGGATCTTCGGTTTGAACCGGCGCACACCCACAAAAACACACACCCACCCACCCGACGTAGGTAAGCGCGCACACACACACGTACACAAGCGTAGGCACACACACACACACGCACGCACGCACGCACGCACGCACGCACGCAAACGCACAGTCATACACACGGTCGCTGCCTTCCACCTAGCCCACTGGGCCACTAACCCAACCACGCAGCATAGAAGACTGATCCCAGAAGAGCGCATGTTCACAGGGAACGGATGGAGATGATGCTTGTTTGCAGGTGTAACACGCAAAGACGTCTAGCGACATCGATGATATTCACTCCAACTGCGAGATGAGATGTGTGTGTGTGTGTATACTGTTCTATGGTGAATAGGTTCTGAAATCCCAAGTTCATCAGCATTCAGCTGCTGATAGTTTTTTGGGCCCATTGATTCTGCAAAGAACAAGAAGCCGTTGGTCATCAGGACGTCCGGTTCCAACTCTTGCCCTAGCCATGTTTGAAAATGCTTTTCAGGTGGTCAAACAAAATGGAACAATCCCGTAGATCTTGATGGAGACAGGCAGCATGCTGAGGGTCGTACTTACAAATGGTCGCGGCCAGGCCCCGCAAGTGGATGGCGCTGGATCGCAAAGGTGGGGCAGATTCGAGCCGCAAGGGGGTGCGGGGGTTGGGGAAGACGGGGTTTGCATGATGAGGTGCCAGCTGGCTGTTTGTGTTGAAATAATGCAGCTTCCCACGCTGGCAATGTCATTGCTTCCAACCGGTGGCTGATTGGAGGGTAGGGAGAATGTTTCGATCTTGCGCAAGATGTGATGTGTTGAGTGATCATCTTGCATGAGAACTTCTTGCAGCCCACTGAAGCACAAGCCTAGCCGACAAACTCTGAGATGGAGTTGGCTGCGTGACTGCAAACCGCTAAATGTATAATAGCTTGTTCAGAATGCTGTATATGGTGGTGCTGGCGGTTCAAGCCGGATGCAAACGTTGATTACATGCCCTTGCCCCAACAATTGCCAAACGCCGAGAGAGAAGACCCAAGGCCTTCAGAACACGGCGACGGGAAGTGTACTGTAGCTCTTTTGGCTGACGTGTTTTTGTCATTACTAGAATAGTATTGGATGGATTCCTTGGACTTGCAGCCTTGCTTGTTCGTGGGAAAGGTTATTTTGTTGATTCACCTCGATTCCGTGACTTTGGAGCATTTGGACCTGAAACTGAACTTGCCAGGTGCTGTGAAGGAGCCTCAGATCCTGGTCTTTCGCCTGGAGGGTCCCCTCTTTTACGCCAATGCGCCATGGCCAGTGTTTGGAACCTGTGCCTACATCGCTGGCAGGGGACGGTCCCTGACAGACATGCTTTGGGAGGGGTTAAAGGCTTGACAACTGGCACTGACCGAAGCTCTATCGTGTGTAAGGCCTTTGCTTGCTTATCCTGAGTCTGATAGGGATTCTGTGTAATGTGGGTCACTGATTATCGAAGAGCCCCCCCAAGCAACTGAGAGACTCACTGGGGAAAACTCATGAAACGACTTGGGAGTCATATTGGCCTTTCCCAAGTGTAGTACTGGCTTGGTATTGGTTAGTATTGGTTTAGAATTGTTCTGTGTTGCCTTTGTACTGGCTTAGTATTGGTTAGTATTAGTTTAGTTTTGCTTTGGAACTGGTGTACTATTGCTTTGTGCTGCCTTAGTACTGGCTTAGTGTTGGTTTGTAGTAGTTTAATTTTGCTTAGGCTTAGTATTGGCTTTGTGCTGCCGTAGTACTGAGTTGGAACATAGCCGGATCTGCTCTTTTTTTGCGAACCAACAAGCATTATGTTGGATTAGTTACACTTTTCCGTTTGGGGGTAGATCATAAATTTGGGAAGCAATTATTGTATTTGGTCCCCGTTGACTAATCGGATATGGACATTTGCTTCCTGAACTATGACTACCGACTTGGATGAATGGCCAGAGCTGCCCAAAGCTACCTTTGTTTTTGTGGGTTTCCTGCCACAAGCCAAGACAGCGTTCGGAAGTTCAGCTTTAAACGATTTTAGGCCAACGGATTGATCTGCCGGGTACCCGAGCCCTCGGTCAGTGTTGAGTTGCATTCTACGCCGGGGTGATATCTCCTAAGCAATGGCCAGCTTGACTGTCCGATGTTCGAAGAGGCTTGAGGAGGAACCTGTCACTCGGTTTTGTTTGGGGCGGTGGTGACCAAGCGAGGCCCTTTTGCTCAATTTCCATAGTGCAATCAATTTGTGAATACCCATTCATGTTTAAGTATTGTCCGTTTCTAGAGCTATCTTTTGAAAGACCGGCGCTGGGCAAGATACCATGTTTTTGACCTCCACCAGGTGAGCACATACTTTTCAAGTTCGGATACTGCATCAGGGCGCACAGGCGAGAGCTTTGGGCTGGAAGAGCGTGTGTTTTCAGCCAAGGTGGAGCGGCTGCAAGAATGGGTGGAGGAACAGGAGCCATGGCCATGTGATTTATCGGCCCACCTGAGAACTGGCAAGAGATGCAAGGGGTGACAAGCACCCATGGAAGAATCAAGCATTGTGTGCCATTGGAGTGGTTTCCTTTGAGTGGTGCAAGGTTTGCTTTGGACCCAAAATGACCCGTGGATTGATGTAGGGAAGGGCTCGAATCTGGTAGGAAGGACCATGGGGAAGGAAGCAATTCATGTGCTTCCCTCTTGGCTGCAGGAGGTGGAGATTGGCGAAGAGGAGGGCGAGCTCATCGGCATTGTCCTGTCAGACCTTTGGCTAAAGCGAAAGACTTTGGGACTTGAGCCGCTTTCGGATGGCGCGGGGCTGTGCTTCAAGATACCAAGCCTGAAGAGAACACGCTGGGGTCAAATGGGGAGTGCACAGGACCCTTTGAGCAGAAAAGAAAACCGGGGCTTTGGAATCCCGCGTGTATACAGCATGCATGTATGGCATGCTGTGATGCTATCGGAGCCGCGGAGCTGGGAGGATCGTCAGTTTCCATAGCACACCTGGATCCGGTGAAGCACTGTGAGCAAACCGAGGTGCTCCTTTCCTTTAGTGGCTCGGCCAAGCGTTCCGCTGAGTCAGTTTCAGTCCTTGCAAGTGGCAGCCGGCATACTGACGACACTGCTTGCCACGCTGAGTTAGTGCGAACTCTGCTGCAAGCATACCGGCACGCCGCCAAGCTGTGCGCACGCGTGGAGACTCATCTCCTTGCCAGGTAGCTTGAGGAAGCAAGCTCATCTTTCAAGCGATTCGGCGCAATCTCGTTGGCTACAAGCTCCGCCGGCCGGGTTTCACGGGGGCTCATGATCCGCGTCTATGCGCCGTTGCCAGTTTCTCTGAAGCCCGAGATCATTTTGAGCGCGCCAAGTTGCATGAAAGTAATCAATGCTGGGCGTGCGTTTGGCCTTGCAGATCACAACTTCCGCTATGCCGTGCCATGGCACCTCGCTCCGAACTCTCCCTGAGACCGCTCGCTTCTCAAAGGTAGCCTTCATACTCGGTACTTGATGCTCGCGCCTATTCGCCCTTCAGCTGTTTACTTGAGTTGATACTAAACTGTTTTCGACAATGCCGCAGGATGTGGCAACTTGTGGCATTGTCCTGTGTCACATGCGTATCGGATCTTCCCTTTACCGGTCTTGCTGCTCCAATCACATCCCAAGCTGGGATGTTTGTTGGACAGCCCGATGCCAAGGCTCTCAAGAAGCTTGCTCGCATGACGCACACACACATCAAGGTATGTTTAGGTCATAGCTTGAAGTCAGTAGACCGTGCAGGACCGGGGGAAAAGGGTTGAAATGACCAGCGTTGGGTGGGATGTTCAGCGCCAACCGAGGCCTCGGCCATACCCTTTATGGACACCACAGCAGTGCAGGCCCTCTCAGCGCTCATTAAGACGTGGCTCGGCCTGAGATCAGATTTGGTGTGGCTGAAGCTTGACTGGCCGTGGCGGTGATACAAACCACCTGAGGGAAACCTGGTTAGATGTCACTCTTGGCGAGCGAAGAGCTGGCTTGGGAAAGGTAAAGCAAGCTCGGGATCCGTGCAAACAGCTTGGCGGCCGCTTCAACAGACCGGCCGCTCGAGATGAGAAGTCATTTGGCCAGAGGAGGTGTTGCTTGCGCGCGAAGTTGTCCCCATGACCGTAAAGTTTGTCCACGTGCCTTTCAATCCGGATGCTGGAGCTGTGACAACGATCGTTTGTTCTTTCGGGAAGAATGTGGTCGCGGGGGGTTAAAAGAATACCCACGACATATTGTTATTTTTGGCAGGGCTTCATCAGCTGCCTTTTTGGTTGCTGTGTTTGTTTGATGTGTTGCTCCCATCAACTGTCCATTGGCCAGCCAGTTGGCCGTTCGATGTATATTTATGCATATATATATATATACACACGTACGTTTCTATGTATGTACCATGTGCACTTGTCTATATATATATATATGAATCTGCACATGTCTCAGTATACGCATCTCATCAAGTCACAGGAGCCACAAGTACACCAATCGTTGGCGTTTGGCTAGCAATTTTGCCTTGACCAGGTGCAGCGAGCGCGGCACCCTTTTCTGCATCGCCAATACCTTCGGTCAGACTGGACGCACCTCAGCGAGCTGTGAGCGGCGAGCATTCAACAGCAACTGATGGCCACATCGAAGCTCCCAAAAGCGCCTGCAAAGACTTCCGTCTCAGTTTATTGCCTGAATGGTTAAAGACTTTGGCGAAAGGCGGTTTTTCACCTGTGAACATGGAAAGGGCAGGGGCGTTTTAGACAGTTACAGTTTTTCCAGGACACTTGCGCGGTGCATGTTTGATGTGGCTGGCGCAAGTAATCCGGCTCTGGCTGCCAGACCGCATTGTAGAACGCACCGCTTGACAATTGTTTTGGAGCTTGCTGACTGATAATTGTAGTGTTGAAGTGTCTTCACCATTGAGAGGCAATCATTTGAAATTGGGTGATCCAAAAGGGGTTCTAACAAATGATTCACAAATGGGATGTAGTACGCAACCCACAATATTGTCCTTTGCAGGCTAGAACCTGCCAATTGGACCCGTCTAGGGTCCCCTGGATTCTGGAGCATGTCTCAGCTTTTAGCAGTCTTCTGGTTCTGTTGGATGTTCAATGCTCTGATACTGGGTTCACCTGCATCACTTGCGCTCAGCTCACGTTGGGATGGGATGCCAGGATGTTGCTCGGTGGCAAAGGTTTTCTGGCACTTTGCTTACCATGCCAGTGCCATGTTCTAGGGGTTGATTCCTTGTCCATTCGTTTCAACCATCGTTCTTTTCAAGAACCAGCTGTTTCCCCAGGGCCTTGTGTGGTTTTTTGTAGAAAGAAGGATGCCTGGAAAGAATGGAAATGGAAGGTACCCCTAGAAATGTCCTTGGCCCGGCTGGAGCTTGCAGCTCACGTCACTCGCGAGATCTAAGGCATTGCCGCGGATCAGCTGGAGCCGCTTCTGAAGGAGTCCATTACAGATTCCTTCCTCCGGTCACAGCTCCAGAACTGCTCCAGCATGGACCCCAGCACCGGACGGATCCACAGATTTCGGCACTCAGGAAAGTCACAAACCACCCAAAAAGCGGATGCCCCAGAATGAGCTTCCCTTGCAACTGGTGTTTTGGCTATGCTAATCTGGAGGAAGCGCCGCTCCAAACGCTGTGGCCGTTTTCGGCCCGCAAGAAGGAGGATCCCTTTTGATAACCTGGTCGAAAGCGTTCAACCGATAGGTTGTGTTGGGTTTTCCGCGTTGTTTGGCATTTGAAGCCACTGATACACCAGCAAACGCGCCCAACATGGCTTGGGTGTTTATGTTGCAAAGTGCGGGCTCGAGCTTGACAGTTCAATTATCTTGGTTAAATGTCCGAGTTGTTATTTTGGGTCGCTTGGTCCTGATTATAGCAAAGAATCGCAAGCCTTTTGGCGTGTGCCCCCTTTGGCTCTGCGAAGCTTCAGCAGGCTCTACGTTTGATGCCTGGCCACACGATGGGCAATAGCCAGTGGTCCCATTTGTGCAAACAATCTATGTGTATGCACTTGATCGTCAATGCATTGCACGAAGCTTGTGTGGGCTAGGTGTCTGCTTTAGTATGTTCGAATTGTGTTTGTTCCAGCTTGACCGCCGTTGAGTGGGTTAAATTGGTTCAACACGAGCTCTCTGAGATTGACCCTCTTCCAAACCACGTCAGACAGTCCGCTTATTCAACGCCTCGCTTTTAAGCAGGCATGCTTGTGTGGGTGGCCCCTGCGGACTCAGCGTTGGCCCTCTTTGCTCACAGCCGTCCAGTTTTCGAGGCGTGGACGACTTCGTGCGGCTGATCCGCGCTTACAAAGAGGTGGGGGCCTTGCTTATTTGGGCTGAGTGACGAAGTTGATGCAGCAAAGGACCATTTTGTGGTGTTGCAATGGTTGCCAAGAAGTTGCAAGATTGCAACATTACCACGATTCATAAGAATCATGTTTTGCTTCCCTACGCTTTCTTTTCGTCGCAACTGCAGCTGCGAAGCTGGGTTGCCTTTGAGCTTGCTTGATTGTAGAGTGGGTCAGCACGTTCCTGTCACCTGTCATTGCCAGCAATGAGCCTCACACGCAAGCTCTTGAACACGAATCTTTCTGCACTGCTGAAAGTTCTGCTTCGAAATCATAGCCTTTAGAGCACATTGTGGAGGACAACGACAAGACTCAAAAGGAAAAACTCGGCCAAATCGTTTCCCAGACTGCCGCAGCCTTGCAGAGTAAGGAACACTCAGGTTTTCAAAGGCCCCGATCTTTTGTGTGATAGACAACTCAATACACCAACCCACATGATGACATGGACGTTGCACCATTCACCGACCATGAGAATGAATAATAACAAGCTCACAGACAGCCCTGGTTGTTATTGTTGAAGGAGCAAAGCCATGATGAACATGTTTCCCAGTTCACCTTGGAGATTTGCCAACAGCTTCGTTCATTCCTGGTTGGTGGTGAGCATGGTTCAGCCTTCTCCCAAATCATTCGCTGTTGTTGCATTTGGGCAACTTACATTGTCCCGCAAGCAACAAGCAGTAGCGGCGGGGGCAGCAGCAGCAGCGGCCGCAGCGGCCGCAGCAGTCGCAGCCGCCTTCACTTGGCAACACATTCACATAATTCACATAATTTTGTCACGTTTGGCTCAAGGGAACAGCTTATCGAAAGACATGGCTGTGCGCAAATCAGAAGGGTCGAGGCAAGTCTGTCTACGGACTAATTATCATAAATCATCGGTGTCGTTTCTCAAAGGCTTCATGTGCGGCAAGGATTGGAGCAAATTCAAGGCTGAGCTTTCACAAGCCCCGCAGGCGCACAGCGACGTCACCACTCACTGCCTCATGCGCGCCTCCATGCTCCAGACGAAAAGCCCCCCGGCATGCACCTTTGACATGTGACGCAGGGTGACACACTTTGGATGAAGGGAAAGCTCGGCCTGACAATGGGCCTTCCTTCGCATGGATGGTGGTTTGCCTGGTTGCTTGGTTGCTCGGTTGCTTGCTTGCTCGGTTGCTTGGTTGCTTGGTTGCTTGGTTGCTTGGTTGGGGGGGTGATTGCATGGGTTGCATGGTGGCCGGCCGGGCGGGTGGGCGTCTTGTTGGCTTGGCATGCTTGGCCGGTTCCAATGCTGAAGCACGTCTGGCGCAAGTCCACCCCGACAGCAGATCTTCGCTTTGTGCCGGCCTTTGACGGATTCGTCGGGCCCCCTCTCCGATTGGCTGTAGCCTTTGAAGCGAACTGCACCAACCATCGCACCCGACATTGGCCGCGTCATGGCGCCCCGCCCCCGCTGCGGCAGCGGCGGCTCCTGGATGAGCCTCACATCTTTGAAGAGTGATAGTGAGGAGCGTCTCTACGCGGAGGAGGATGGGGCGGCAAGGGGCGGAAAGGCTTGTGCTGGGTCCGTGAGAGATCAAGACATCCTGGAAATGACCCGAGCGAAGTTGTGGTATCAAAATGACCGAACAAGTCATTCTAAGTTTTCACAACCCCTCAATTGGTCACCGTAAATGACGCAGCTGGGGTCCCTGAGCGGAAGCTCAACGAGATATATAGACATATATGGCATTTTGTTTTAAGGGTCTGTCTGTAGCGGAGGATTCTGTGATCACGGAGAATCTTGGGTTTCAAGTTGCAGCCTTTATCGAAGGTGCACGAAGACTTTTCCCACCGACACGGAGGTTCAAAAGCTGCGGGAGCTGGCGGGCATTTGTCATTGGCCCCTCGCGTGTTCTTGTCGGGCAGGTGCCGCTATTGCATGCTATTGCTTGGTGGTGGCCCTCTTGCCCAACATATATGTTGCTGTTCCGGGAAAGCGTGACACAACTTGAGGAGGACGCCATATCTTTCGCAGGTGAACAAGGCTAAGGAACTCGTTTCGACGTTTCAAGATGGGCAGTGGAAAGCATGGGAAAGTCCGCGCATACCAAAGAACTAGACATAGTAAAATGCCGGAGCAACTTGGATGGCTGATGATTCTTGGTTCACTGCTGAGTTCTATTTCGAGACGTCGCGTGTACTCAATTGACCACGTGAAATGAGCAACATGAGTCATGGAATGTGCTTGATGAGATGTCGTGTATGGGTATGTGAAAATTGCCACTCATGAAACGTCACGTAAACGGCACATGTGTTTAGGCTCA